GAGCCAAATATTATTTAACATTATGAATAAATAATAAAGAACTGCAATCATATTATTGTGTAACACATAGATTATTCGGCAATTATAAATGACTCGATGATGGAAGAAAAGAATGTAATATTCACTGGGATCATGTTTGTTGTGATGACGTTATCTAATAATACCTCATGGCTCTATCAGCCAATAAAAATCAAGCTTTTGACCAAAATAGAATGTATACGTGAGGGCGAGGGAACAGGGAAATGCGAATGAAAACTATTATTCAGAGTTCATATTCAAAAACAAATGATTTCAAAATTAGTGCACAAATCAAAGAAAATTCAAAATTTCTTTGATCATATTTAATGCCTTGAAATGCAAATTATAGTCGTGAAAGTGGAACCGAGTGAAGAGCGCCACCAGTGTGAATGATTGTTTGATTGTTTGAACCCGTTTGCCTTCTTCCCATATGCCTTACCAATATTCAAATATTTGTTAAATCACTTACTGATCGCAAACTAGATTACGATTATTATTTTGATACGATCTGTGTTGGGTCCTTAACGCCGCTGTACTTCCTAGGATAGAATGCAAATAAGCACGAAAATAATAATAATCAGTGTATTCATCATTTCAATCATTATGTCTAAACTTTACACGGGATAAATTGTCTGTAAGCACGAGACAATGTTTATATACATAACGACGTTCCCTGACCTTCTACAAAATCCATAGCAATGTCACAATTTGATGATGTTGAAAATATAGCATATGACGTAAACAAACAACAAATAAAACACCATAGTCATCAAAAATGTACTATGGTCCATGCCACGTGTGATGTTCACGTGGGGTCTCCTAATATGCATGCCGTTAGTTTACAACATAATATGTGACACATCAAAATCATACTCAAAACAAATGCGTAGAAGAAAACATAACCCACGTGATATGCACTTCGAAAACTTAGTTTCTTACTGAACAATGTATAAGAGAAACAGTGAATCGCCGTATATTTAATGCGGCAGGGTCGTCATCCGCGCACGCATGGGAATTGCGTCCCAAGCGACGATAACAACACACGCTAAAAATGCAAAGGCTCATGGGTAGACGCTTGTTTGTAAACAATGACACGCTATGGCCATCTGACGCATGCGCAGGTGACGACCCCCCCCTCGATTTAACACATATATATTCACAGTAAAACAAGCGTATATTATTGCAGCAGAGTTCATTACTCCCGTCTTTAAATAACGAAGCATGGTTAAAAGATTATCTGTCGTCATTTAATATTATATAATATTATGATACCATTGATTTATACGGTATTACTTTTATTGTAGCTGTTATTACATACACTGTAATATATTTTTCCACAAGATTAACTCACATGAACGATCTTCAGATACGCGAATGCTCACAATAGAGATTTACTCTAAGCTACGAATGACCAATGCTTTAGTATATTATATCAGTGCATCAGTGTCATAAATACATTATTGTGATTTGTCGATACCCTGTTTTAATTTATGAAAACAATGACTAAAAAGAGTGATTGTGGTGTTTAAAATTGCGCCGGAATATGACAAGTATTGATACTAATAAATTGCACATGCAATTTAACAATACAACATGAAACATAGGATTCAAAATCACCATCACGAAATTTCGGCTCGCCACAATAGGCAGACGCGATAACAGACACGCCACACTCACTGTTTCAAACGAATGCAGTTCGAAATGACGTGCAGTGAACACTGTCGAATGCCAGGCGAATATAGCGAA